CAAGAGGCCTCCAAGAGGGCTCCGAGATGCTGAAGATGGCCTCCAGACGTCCAAGGACGCCCCCAAGAGGCCCCAAGAAGCCTCCAACATGCGTCCCAAGAGGGCCCCTAGACGCAAAAATTGGCCCATTCCCTTCGTAAAACGTACATTTTCAACAAAGTTCCTTTTGGGCTTTCCGACGTTACAGGACGGCCCAAGAGGCGCCCAAGACCGCCCCAAGACGGCCCAAGAGCTTTCACAAGAGGGCCCAGGACAAGCCCAAGAGGGGCCCCAAGACGGGCCCAAGAGGGGGCCCAGAGGGGGACCACGAACCGCAAGCTCGAGCCTTCCGCCCCAAGAGGCCGCCAGGAGGCCCCCAGGAGGCCCCTCAAGAGGCCCCAGGAGACCCCAGACGTCCAAGGACGCCCCCAAGACGCCCCAAGAAGCCTCCAACATGCGTCCCAAGAGGGCCCCTAGACGCAAAAATTGACCCATTCCCTTCGTAAAACGTGCATTTTCAACAAAGTCGCCTTTTGGGTTTTCCGACGTTACAGGACGGCCCAAGAGGCGCCCAAGACCGCCCCAAGACGGCCCAAGAAGCTTCCAAGAGGGCCCCAGGACAGCCCAAGAGGGCCCCAAGACGGCCCAAGAGGCGCCCAAGATGGCCCAAGAGGGCCCCAAGACGGGCCCAAGAGGGGCCCAGAGGGGGACCACGAACCGCAAGCTCGAGCCTTCCGCCCCAAGAGGCCGCCAGGAGGCCCCCAGGAGGCCCCTCAAGAGGCCCCAGGAGACCCCAGACGTCCAAGGACGCCCCCAAGACGCCCCAAGAAGCCTCCAACATGCGTCCCAAGAGGGCCCCTAGACGCAAAAATTGGCCCATTCCCTTCGTAAAACGTACATTTTTCACAAAGTTCGCCTTTTGGGCTTTCCGACGTTACAGGACGGCCCAAGAGGCGCCCAAGACCGCCCCAAGACGGCCCAAGAAGCTTCCCAAGAGGGCCCCAGGACAGCCCAAGAGGGCCCCAAGACGGCCCAAGAGGTGCCCAAGATGGCCCAAGAGGGCCCCAAGACGGGCCCAAGAGGGGGCCCAGAGGGGGACCACGAACCGCAAGCTCGAGCCTTCCGCCCCAAGAGGCCGCCAGGAGGCCCCCAGGAGGCCCCTCAAGAGGCCCCAGGAGACCCCAGACGTCCAAGGACGCCCCCACGACGCTTCGCGTCACCAATTTCTTCTCACAACGATTCCTGGGTCTGTGACTCGACAGAACCTAAGCGCGCGCGAAGCGCGCGCGTGGTTCTAGTTCTCATATTCGTCAGCGTCAGCACTCGTCGCCCCCATCCGCGCACACATGCGGCCCTGGTACGGCTCTCACGCGGCCCTGCGAAGGCCTTCACTGTGCTCCCCAAAGCTTTCTGAGGGGCCCCCCAGAGGCCCCAAGAGGGCACTGGAAATTGTCGCTTCCAACTCCGCCAGGCGGAGGTCAACAAGGGTCTCACTGGTGCACTTCCAGGAATCGTCGTTCGATCCTCTTGGGGCCCTCCTGGGGCCTTCTGGAGCCGTCTTGGAAGCTCCGAGCGGCTCCATGAAGGCGCCGGGCGATATCGCTTCCAATTCCGCCAGGTGGAGTTAGACCAGGGGCTCACTGAGGCCCCTTTTTGCGCCCTCCTCTGCCTTTGAAAAAGCCCCGATGGGGTTCTTCAGTGCCGTCTTAGGGCCCCTAAGAGGCCTCCAGCAGGGTATTGAAGTTATCGCTTCCAACTCCGCCACGCGGAGTTGAACCCAGGGCGGCTCTCTATGGCCCTTTCGGGGCCTTCTTAGAGCTTTTCTGAGGCCCTAAGTGGGCCCTGGGAGGTGTCATTTTCACGGGCGTTGAAAGTGACACCGCGGAGGGCCCTCTTGGGCCCTTCTTGGGGCCTCTCTTGGGTCCCTCTGGGAGCCCTCTTGGTGCCGCCCTGGGGCCTTCTCGGGGCCTTCTTGGAGCCTTTCTGGTGCTCTTTAAGTGGGCCCTGGGAGGTGTCACTTTCACGGGCGCTGAAAGTGACACATCGAAGGGCCCGCTTTCCCTCGTAGCGCTGCCCGTGGCCGGGGCATTGTGCAGCGCATCCCTCGTCGAACGTATTTTGTCGGACGCGTGGTCGAATTCCGCCAGTTCGGTCGAGATGGTGGTCAAGCGGTTCGGTTGCAATGTAGCCATGCGGATCTGAGCTTACCATTTCTTGCCATTTTGGCGGGGATCGCAGGAGCGTTTGTGTTGTGATCAACTGTGCTCGATATATCCAGCGGCAGCGTTTCATCCCAATATATTGTTTTGCAAAAAGTCAGCAGGGGCCAAATTGATGATGTGAAGCAACATAGGTCTCGTACCACGTCGAGCACAGCCAGCGTCAGTGAGCACGGGCCCGCGCGGAGGTTCGCAGACAGTGCGACCGTGTGTGTGTGTGCGTGTGTGGTGGGGGGGGGTGCGCGTGCGTGCGCGCGTGTACGTGTGTGTGCGTGTGTGTGTGTGTGTGTGTGTGTGTGTGTGTGTGTGTGTGTGTGTGTGTGTGTGTTAGTGTGTGTGTGTTAGTGTGTGTGTGTGTGTGTGCGCGTTGGTGTGTGTGTGTGTGTGCGTCGTGCGCGCGTGTGCTAGGGGATATGTAAGGGGCGGGGGGATGCCGTGAGCAGGGGAAGCGAGACGTTGCAAGGTATTGGTATGATCGCGCCGCTTGTCATTGCCAGGGGAGGAAGGGAAGGAGGAGGAAAAGGGAATGAGGAAGGAAAGCGTTCGAAGTGCAGCGCTCTCTGCGTCGTTTTCTGTTTGCGCGAAGTCCCGGTTAGCTACCCGCCGGGCGTTTGTTCGCAATCGGGTAGCGTGCGGGACCTTCTGGGAAATATCGCTGAAACTCTCACTAATTTTGAAGACCTGGTGAATTACCCGCCAGGCGTTTTTCTTCAATCGGGCAACAGGAACGACATTATATGGGCGCCACCAGTGAAATGTTCAGCTGCGCCTGGTGTGTCCTTGTTGACGGGGCCAGGGCGAGGGCGGGGACAACGAGGAAGAGGCAGAGGAGGAGGAGCAATGATTCACAAAGGGCGCATGCTCAAACTTCGACCCCTTAAGATTCAGATAAGAGTCCAGTTGTAGAATTCTGCTGTTCTCGCAGTCGCAGTCGCATTCGCGATGACAGTCGCAGTGGCAACGGCAGTCGCAGTCACAGCCTCAGCCTCAGCCTGCCTCAACCTCAACCTGCCTCAGCCTCAGCCTCGGCCTGCCTCAGCCTCAGCCTCAGCCTGCCTCAGCCTGCCTCAGCCTCAGCCTCAGCCTGCTTCAGCCTCAGCCTCAGTCTGCCTTCAGCCTCGGCCTCAGCCTCAGCCTGCCTCAGCCTCAGCCCATCAGCCTCAGCCTCAGCCTCAGCCTGCCTCAGCCTCAGCCTCAGCCTCCTGCCTCAGCCTCAGCCTCAGCCTGCCTCAGCCTCAGCCTCAGTGTGCCTTCAGCCTCGGCCTCAGCCTCAGCCTGCCTCAGCCTCAGCCTGCATCAGCCTCAGCCTCAGCCTCAGCCTGCCTCAGCATCAGCCTGCCTCAGCCTCAGCCTCAGCCTGCCTCAGCCTCAGCCTCAGCCTCAGCCTGCCTCAGCCTCAGCCTCAGTCTGCCTTCAGCCTCGGCCTCAGCCTCAGCCTCAGCCTGCCTCAGCCTCAGCCTGCATCAGCCTCAGCCTCAGCCTCAGCCTGCCTCAGCCTCAGCCTGCCTCTGCCTCAGCCTCAGCCTGCCTCAGCCTCAGCCTCAGCCTGCTTCAGCCTCAGCCTCAGTCTGCCTTCAGCCTCGGCCTCAGCCTCAGCCTGCATCAGCCTCGGCTTGCCTCAGCCTCAGCCTCAGCCTGCCTCAGCATTCAAAATATGGTACACGAAGTGGCCTGCAGTTGGCTCCGGGCATTCAAAATCATGCCCAGGAATGGAATATTGGGAACTCGAAGACCACGAAGTGGCCTACAGTTGGCTCCGGGCATTCAAAATCATGCCCAGGAGTGGAGTTCTGGGACCTCGAAGACGACGAAGTGGCGTACAGTTGGCTCCGGGCATTCAAAATCATGCCCAGGAATGGAGATCTGGGAACTCGAGGACCACGAAGTGGCCTACAGTTGGCTCCGGGCATTCAAAATCATGCCCAGGAATTGAGTTTTGGGAATTCGAAGACCACGAAGTGGCGTATTGTTGACTCCGGGCATTCAACATGTGGCCCGGGAATGGAGTTCCGGGAACTCGAAGAGCACGAAGTGGCGTACAGTTGGCTCCGGGCATTCAGAATGTGGCCCGGGAATGGAGTTCTGGGAACTCGAAGACCACGCAGTGTGTAACTGTTTGTTTAAAACGACTCCCGCGGATTCTCCCCGGATCCTGCCCGGACCCCCCTGGGGAGTCATGATGCCTTCTTTTGAGACCTTTAGAAACCTAACAGTCTTCGCTGTTAGGTAAAAACGCCGTAAACCACTTACGCCCAGAGCGTTGCACGATATTTGCGAGTCTCAGTCGACATTTTCTGACCGTACGTCACCTGAGGCCTTCTCGCAGCTCTGTGCCTGCAACTACTTTGTTCCATGATAGTCCGGCCACTAATGCTTGAGACATTATCGTGACGCTGGCTCTCGAGCATGCCTTCAGCTGAAAGGTGCGCGCAACGATCGCCGAAGACATCCTCGCAACTCTGGCATCGCAGACCGCATGCTCTACCATAACGAGGAGCTGTTCTGACGTCGTCAACGCCGCGCCCCACGCTGGTACGGCCATTTATCTCTCAGGCATTCTCGCAACTCTAAGTTCCAAGACGCCTGGCGGGCTCAGGGCCTAGATCCAGACGCTCGGAGATCTGGGCGCTTCGCGTTTGCCCATTAGCCCATCCAGGAACGATGTCCAGGCGAGTTGAGGTGATCAGGGAAGTGCGGGAGCAAATAGAGGGGCACCCGATCCGTGCGAAGGCCTCGTCGGGGCCTCGTTGGGGATCTCTTTGGCCACTTGGAGCCGTCGAGTTGCGCGGGCGCCCTCGGGAGGAGGCATTCTGGTTCGAAGGCCCTGCTGGGATATCGTGCGCGCCCAACGCAGTCTCGCCTGTCGCCCTGTGCAATCCGCGCGGCACTGCCATCATGCAGAACGCTTTGTGGACCGGCATGTTCAATGACGCGTCCGTGAACGGCGAGATGTCCTTCCCCGGCGTTGAGGGGCTCCAGGTCTTATTGGAAGGCAACGGCATGAAGGTCGGCGACGGGGGGATCGGCGTTGTATTTTCGCAGAAGGCATGGGGGCAAAATCGTTCACTGTCCAAGGATGACTTCATGGAGCTCACGCGGGCCATCGAGACCATGCATGTCGACGCGCTGTTGCAGCGCATTGCGGGGCGCTTGGAACAGCAGGACTTCCCGTACGTGCTGCCGTCGGAGATGGGCCAGGAGGATTAGCAGAGCATGGCTAGAGACACCTTGGAGCTCGTGCTCAAGACAGAGCACGCGGAACTCCAGTCCTTCATCGACCAGAAATGCAGAGTTTCGCCCCGTCACGCCGACGGACGAGCTCGTCGCGGAGCCTGTGCGGCGGGCCAAGTTCATGTACAACTCATACTACGCGCTGGTCGTCCAGTGCAATGTTCAACGTTCGCATGAGGATCGACGGCTCCGTCACAGGTTCACGGACGGCGTCTTCGCGCCCGCGATCCCCGTGGCCAGCTTCGGCGACGCGGCGAGGAAGGATGCCGCCGGGGAGGTGTGCTCCAGTATGACCGCCGCGCTGTTCGGAGCCTTGGACGCGAAGGTCTGGGGCGGCTGGGACGCGCTGACGAAGTGCGCCCCTCCGACGGCAGCGCTGTTTGAGCAGTGCATGTCGGGTGCGTATTTTGCCGCCGTGACCGACGTAGTCAGCGCGCCCCCCCTGGAGAGCATCCCCGGGTTCGCGCCGCTGTGCCCGGTGGAGATTGGCAACGCGAGCGTGGCGGCGCAGGCGGAGCGGTCATGGGTCGCTGCGAACGCAGCGCAGGAAGACCACGCGGAAGTTGAACGCATCCTAGCGGCGTCGTGGGAAGAGGAGAAGCAGCGGATCCCGTCGAGCTGCCGCGCCTTTTTGACCGCGGAGAGCGCCGAGCTATTCCGGCGCGGCAAGTATTGCGAGGCCTTGGAGACCGTCGTGAGTTGCCGGGCCGGTTCGGGCTGCGCGACGCCCGCGGCGCCATTCGCGCCCAAAGTGAATCCTTGGGAAGGCGCGGGCATCACGGAGGGCGCGGTAAGAGACCGCGAGGAGATGCTGACGCACTTGGACTCCGCGGACGCAGTCGTGGTGGACGCGGGCGTGATCGCTGCCTGGAAGAAAAACGTCGATTCTGCGCCGCCCAGCATTCGGGCCTTCTTGCCTGAGGATCCGCCGCAGGAGTTTTGGGTGGAGGAATATTACTCGGCGATCCACCGCGTGGTGGGCGTGAAATTGCCCGCAGTGGCGACGTTTGGCACTGGGCGCCCCGGCGACGCCCGCCAAGCCGACGTGCTGGCCATCGCGCGTGCGAGCGGCGCGCGCTCAGTGACTCACCTGACACAGCCTTCCGGCGCTGGCCCTGGCGCCGCGCGGGAGCGTGGCGGCGCGCTGTCACCGGCGAAGAAGGCGAAGGTCTGCGCCCCTGATGGCGGACCCGGTCGATGCGATGGAAGTGGCGGGCGGGGCAGCCGCGGGGGCGACCGCGCACATCGGGCCCCGATCGATGCGCGAGTTGTCGAGTTTCGAGGGGCACTGGAATTTCGAGGGGTTCGTCATGCACTTCGACGACCAGCCTCGCACAACGGGGAAGAAGGGCAACAGCAAGGGGTTGAAGGACTCGCCGCAGAAGGGTTTGAAGGACTCGCCGCAGAAGCGCGGCAGTGCCGCGTCCAGCAGCGGAGGGCTGGCGATGGGCGCGATGATGATGGGCCGCACGGGCCCAGTGATCGTGACTTTGTTCGATGCTGCTGCGCGTGATATTTTGCAAGTGGTGTCCTCGCGGACTGGGCCGCGCTCAGCGCAGCAGCCGAAAGTAATTTTTGCTTTCGCGAACGTCCGCGTGGCAACGCTGCCGGAGGGGGGTGACTGGAACGGGAAGCTCCTGACGCAGGTGCGGGCGTTGCATTCCAGCACGGCGAAGGGCGTTGCCGTGCCAGGGACCGTCGCGTCAGCTGTGACGATGCCGTCGTTACCGCACATGGCGGCTGGAGTTGCGTTCGCAATTCCGCAGGCTGACGTGTGCGCTGATTTCCTCAGCGTTCGAGATTTTATGAAGGGGCCTTTCCGTGGGACCTTCACTGGCGTCGTCGCGAACGTCGAGGGCGCGTCCTTCACGGTTGCCTGGTCGCCGAAGAAGAAGTTCTAACTGGTGGATCAGGTTGGCGCGTTCATTCGGCGTTGTGCGCTCGTGCACAGCGTCGGGAATCGAGACTCGCAGGAAGGCGTCGAAATTGTGCTCTACCATGCGACAGGGCGTGGCCCGATCGGCAGCGCGCAGGGGATGCTCTACCTCATGAAAGATGCCTTCGTCTTCCCTGTGGCGCACCGCGACCTCTGCCCGCAGGCCCGGATCGAGATCACCATTGACTGATCGGTGTTTTTTCGCGAGGCCCTAGCAGAGGAAGGAATAGGCCATAAGAGCCAATCGTAGCTGCGTATGAGAGCTGCGCGGCTGCGAGTGCCCAGTGCGTGGCCGCTCGGCTTTTCGGTGCCCCCAGCCGCGCGTGTTCGATGAGCGGTGGCCTTGATTGTAATGTATTGACACTTTGCCCTGCAGATCATGCAAATTCGTTCTCCTTCGGAATTGTCAAGCGCGGTTTGCCCTGCACTAAGCATGTCCAGGCGGGCGGTGCAAGCAGTGCAATGAACAGTCAAGCATCCCGGCATCGTGGTTGGCTCTTCTTCGGCCATCGCCGCGCTGTTCTGTGATGTGCTAGCTCTGTTCTGTCATGTTATGTCATGCTGTGGTGTGTCATGGTGTGTTACGTGGTCGCGTTCGTCGAGGGCGCGAGGGGGGGTGCTCGGGGATACTCGGGGGCCATCGGCACAAATGGGGGTCGGCGGCCGCGGTATGCTGGGCGGGGGTGTCTGGGATGTATGTTTTGAAAATTCACAACCCTAACCTGTCTGATGGGGAACGACGTTGTTGCGGCACAAGGTTTGGGCGGATTTTAACTTGTTCTTCTCATGGGCGTCCTTGCTGCACGGCGCAGGCATCGCGCCGAAATTAATAAAGCGTTCGGTTCGGGAGGGGCTCCCATTTCTGCTCCGATTATTGGGCCAGGAGCGTCGTTTTGTAGCGGGTGGCCCCGACCGCGTCGTGCCTTTCCTCGTCGTCGTCGTCGACGGTTTGTAGCCGACTTTCGATATTCGGAGGTTTGCCTGCGTGGCGGTCTCAGTGAGCCGATTTGGGTTCCAGGATCGCCGGAAATGAGTCCTCGTGACTGGTTTGTGCTTGCACGTGAAGGAAGTCAAGAGGGGTTTTCATTATGTCGCCCCTTTGGCTCCGCTCCTTCTTGCATCGCATAGCTTCTCTGGTCCAGAGTCGATGGATGGGCGCCATCCCTGAGGGGCGGCCGCGCCGCTGGCCTGGGTGGTAGTGGCGCTGGAGGCCGCGGCCTACGTTGGAGCAGAGGAGGGCCCGACGCGGGCGGCCTGCCCTGACCCTCGTGCCCGGCCTGTCCTGCGTGTCCAGAGGCGGCGGCTGGCCCAGAGGCCGCGGCCTGCCCGGCTTGCGAGCCGCCTCCCCGCGCGGCTTGCCCGGCCTGCGAGCCGCCGCCGGGTGCGACCCGCCCGGCCTGCGAGGCGGCCGGCGGCGACGCCGGGCGAGAGGGCGGCTGAGAGGCTCACTGGGGTGCTGCCCGGAGGCCTGGTGCACTGGCTGGTGGGAGTTCCCGGTCGCAGGCATGACGACGCTCGTGCGGTGGCTCCTCAGCGTCGTGGGGCGGAGGTGGTGGACTAGAGCGCTCTCAGTGGAGCCTGGGGTCTGCCGATTCGCCGGCGACGACGTCGATGACGTATGGGTGCAGCTGCACTACGTGGCAGAGGGCGGACGGGTCATCCTGTCCCCAGAGGTTGACATCTACGTGGAGGACATGAGCTGCGGCAGGGCCGAGACCTGGCCTGCCCGACCCATCCCGCTGGCGCAGCGGATGGGCAGGATGCGGAGGCTGTATCGCTTCGAAGAGGCGCTGGGGCCTGAGAATCGGGCCAAGACGCTGACGCGGGGCCGTCAGGCGGCGCTGGAGGTAGAGGCGGCGTCGCCTGAGCCGAGGGAGGCCGGGGCCGTGAGCGGCCAGCGGGTCTCGTGGCAGGAGGGCGCTGGTAGGCGGCTGGCCGCGGAGCGGAGGGGCCTGCTGTGCCTGAGCATGGCCGTGGCTCGCCGGGCGGGGACGCCGCTGGAGGCTCCTGCTGGGGGTGACGCCTGGGTCGGCCGCAGTGGCGTGCCCGACGATGTGATCGGGGCGGAGGTCGACGTGGCGAAGACTGGAGGCCTGAGCTTCGAGGACGGGCCTGAGGCGTTCGGGGTGCTGAGGTCCGCCGACGGTGGCACGGGGCGACTCGGCCGGCTGGGCGCGGGGTCGGACGCTGGGCGCCTGGCAGAGGAGGAGGCTTTCAGGCATGGCCCAAGCAGGAGCCAGGCGCGTGCCAAGGGCCCCGAGCGCCGACGCACTGCGGCCGCGGCGCCGCTCGAGGATGAGGAGCCCGCCGGGCCCCCACGCGGCGCGGCTATGCCAGAGCTGGCGCAGCCGCTGCTGGCGGGGCCGCAGGGCGAGCAACGTGACGCCCTCGCCCGCACGCTCTGGGTCTTCTACGACGAGCAGGGCGGACGGGACAGACGATGGCGAGACGTGGTAGGCGAGTCGAGGCAGGGGCGCCGCCCAGACGCACGGGTGGGCAGACCGCCGGGGGCTCTCCACATGCGCGAGCACATGGTGAGGCACGGAGGCGACCTGCGGCTCGAGCCCGACCTCACCGTATGCGTGAGGGGCCGTGGGGAGAATGACTGGGTGGTGCAGAAGCTGAGGACGATCGTGGAGGCCTGGTACCAGGGCTTATTACGTGTCCAGCTGAACATGAGCGGCCTGCAGTGATGGTGGGGAAGATGACTCACCGCGGGTCCGCCACGCTGGAGGCCTACGGAGACCTGCTCAAGCCGAGCTGGACGAACGCGGACATCTTCGCGGACGTGAGCTCGGAGAAGGACGTCTCGGGGTCAGAGCTCAGGGGCTACATCCACCAGGGGGCGCAGAAGACGTGCGAGGTGGAGCAGGCGCAGAATCGGGCAGGTACGCTACGCGGGGTGCCTACTAGGACCGTCGGCGGAGCAGAAGGAGCTGGAGGCGACGCAGCAGGTGCGGGGCGCGGTGGCGGCCGAGGCGGCCGCGGGCGCGGCCGGGCCAGGGGCGTCGCCTCCGCGGGGCCATGACGGCACCCGGGCCCGGGGGGGCCAGCCCCTCCCCCGGGCCCTTTTTGCCGGGGCACGACGGCGGCCGCCTGCCGCCCTCGCGTGGAGCCCGCAGCTTCCTGCCGCTCCCGCTGCTGGGCGACGCTGGCCGCCGAATTCGCGGCAGGTCTTGCAGGGCGAGGCAGTTCGGCCGAGAGAATCGGATTGCGGCGGAGGTCAACGGTATCGTCGATGCCGTTAACTGGATGTCGGGGTACGACTCGCTTCCTGGCCCAGCCAATGACATGCAGCGGGATGTACTAGCGCGCTTCGAGGGCCTCGTTCGGGGCCGGCAGCCGGACGCCAAGTTGCAGGATCCGCAGGCGGCCCTCCGGGAGCTGCTGCGGGGCCGCTCGCCATACGACGGGCGCAGTGGCCCGACGACGGTCGCCTCCTACAGTGCAGGGCTCGTCAGCATGCCGATGGACGTGAGCGACTGCCCGCGTCTAGAGGACCTCTTGCCTGGCGAGGCCCTTACTTTCCTGCAGGAGCGCCATGAGCGCATGTTGCGAGAATCACCCTTGCCGACTGACGTCGAGCCATACTTCGACTCGGTCCTCAAGTTCAACCACAAGGAGTACCGCGGCCTGGTGCGCCGGCTGCTGTCGGCTGGCATTCTGGGATGGACTCTAACACCGAAAGAGAGAATTGGGATGTTTTTCGTGTGGAAGGATGGGCGGCGCCGGCTTCGCCTCATAGTCGACGCCCGCCGTGCGAACGCCCACTTCAAGGACCCTCCTGGGGTGGAACTTTTGAGCAGCGAGGGCCTTGCCAGAATCGAGGTGCACGTGCCAGACGCGGGCTTCTCGAACTACGAGGACCTCCGCGCCGCGCTGGAGGCGCAGCAGGTGTACATCGGCATGGCGGACGTGAAGGACTGCTTTCATAGGATGCGTATTGATTCGGCCCTCTCGCAGTACTTCTGCCTGCCGCCGGTCAAGGCTGGGGGGTTTCGGCGTGACCGAGGTCGAGGGGACCAAGGTGCAGACGTCGACGGCCATCTACCCTTGCTGGCAGGTGCTGCCCATGGGCTTCAGCTGGTCTCTCTACTTCGCCCAGCGGGCCAACGAGGAGGTGAGCCGCCGCAGCAGCGCGCTCCTTCGGGGGCCCGGTCTCTCAGACCATGGGCCACCGCTCGTGTTCGCGCCGGGCAGAGCGTCCCAGGAAGTCAGGCACTACGTGTATGTTGATAACTTGGGGGTCTTCTCGCTCTTCTCTGAACTCGTGAGCGGCGTGATGAACCAGCTGACAGGCGAGTTCACCAAGCTGAGCCTACTGCTGCACAAAGACGAGCTGGTGCCGGACAAGGCAGTAGCGCTGGGCACGGAGATCGACGGGGGCCAATTGCGCACTCGTGTGACCGGTGATCGGTTCTGGCGCTGCCGCCAGGCCGTGCGAGGCCTCCTAGCCCGCCGCCGTGTCAAGGGGTGGGCCGTGGAAGCAGTGCTGGGCCACCTAACCTTTTGTGGCCTCTGCTCGCGCGGCACCTTGTCAGCCTTCAATTCAGTCTACGGCTTCGTGCGAGCCCACTACGACGAGGCGGCCGTGCTATGGACTGAGGCGCGGCAGGAGCTGACGGCCTTCAGCTCTTTGATGTACTTCCTGGAATCAGATTGGTGGCTACCTTGGAATCCCTTGGTGCAGCAGTCAGATGCCAGTCTTCACGGCTACGGACTGGCAAGGGCCTTTTGGCCGCGGGAGCTGGTGGAGTCAGTCGGGCGCGTGCCTGAGCGAGCCCGCTTCCGCCGGCGCTGCGCGCACAGTGCCCGCGAGGCTGCGCTCTGTGCAGCTGGTTTCAGCATGAGCGAGAGTGGAAAATGGGAACTCAAGGGCCTTCCTGAAGATGAGGAGGAGCTGGGCCAGTGGGACGTTATGAGGGACTTCCCGGAGGTGCCCGCCCGGGGGCTCCGCGCAGGTCTGCGGGGGCCCTGCTTCGCAAGAGCCTGGCAGCACCCTGAGGGCATCCTGACCTTAGAGGCCCGAGCCCTGGTCAGCAGCATACATCGTATCGCCACCACGGTGTTTGGGTCCCACATACGTCAGTTGCTGCTCTGTGACAATATGTCGGTCGTGCTAAGCTTCAATCGAGGGAGGAGCTCCTGTTTCAACTTGTTGGTCCAGATTTCGTCGATTTCACGCTGTCTGTCTGAGCCGAAATATTCGTTGTTCGGTTCGTTGGATACCCAGTAAGCTCAACTGTGCCGACCTCCCCTCGCGGCTATTCGATCCTGACGGAGCAAAGTCCGCCCTTCTGGCTGAGCTGTTGGAGCTCGAGGGCTCCCAGGCGGGCTCAGGGCGGTCTCCCGCCTGGTCCGCACCTGAGAAGGTAGCCGGTGGCGCCGCGGCCCGCGATGCTGCCTGTGTGCCCGCAGGCGCCGGACGGGCGTGGCCGCTGCCTCGGCCCCCTGCAGACCAGACAGGGCGCGAGGCCGGGGGCGGGACGCCGGCGCGCGCAGCGGCCGGCGCCGTCTCGCCTGAGGCCTGGCCTGGGGCCGTCTGCCCAGGGTCAGGAGGCGGGATGCCCGCGGCAGCTTGCCCCTTTGCCGCCAGTGGCGCCGCTGCCGTCGCCGGCAGCTTGGCGGGAGCACCAGCTGTGCGAGTCGGAGCTCCTGAAGACAGCGGTGCAGGGCCGTCCCCTGCCGCGGAGCTCGGGGCAGATGGCGGAGGACCTGAAGGAGATGCCTGTGCCAGCGGAGCCCGCTCAGGGAGTGCGAGAGAGCGACGGCTCCTCCGACAGCGGGAGCTCCGAGCCCGAGGTCGAGACCGACGCCGCGCGGCAGCCCAGGTTCGCGCAGTCGCACGAGCGCCTTGCCCGCCACTACGGGTCCCCTTACCTGGAGAGGGAGGCCGTGTGGATTCCGTCGCTGCGCGAGCACCAGAGGGTTGGGACCATTGGCGAGGTCATGGAGAGCAGGGACGTTGCCATGGTGACCTCGGCGTTGGTGAGCCAGCTGACCGGACTGCACCAGACTGGAACTCACCCCTCCTGGGCCGAGAGGCTGATGGTCGGCGTCCCGCATTTCAACCCCGACGGGTCGAGCTACGGTGCCTGGCGCCTCCCCCTGGGCTGGAGTTTCTGGACCCTGAGGCTCTCCCCGGAGGAGGAAGGCCCGTGGGAGGGAGCGGGCCTGGTGAAGGTGTCGCTAGAGTCAGACTCGCCCTGGATGCGCTTCTTGGGCCCTGTGCTGTGTCAGATGAAGAAGGAGAAGCGCCCCGAGTACCCGTGGAACTTCACGTGCCCAGAGTACCGCAGGAGGTTCAGCCTACGTCTCCAAGACCTGCCAGCAAGAGCCGAGTTGGTGCCGTATCAGGTTTGCCTTTCAAGGGCCTTGGTATGCATGGCGAGGAGGTGGGGGCGGCTGGCCGAGGTGCAGACACGCTGGCAGTGGAGAGCCAAGCGCAGCGTCGTCCGCTACGAGAAGCACGCGCGCCTGGCAGCCACGTGGTCAACTCGGAGCCGCACGGTGCAAAACGTGTTCCTGGTCTGCGGGGTTCAGCTCGCGGACATCATTTCGGATCGCGCCTCGCCGCTCGACTTGCGGGAGCTCGGCTGCGTCTGACTGGCCAATATGTGGCCGACTGCTTCAGTGGCAAAGGAGGCGTGGGTCGGTCCGCAATGGCCATGGGCGTGCCAGCCAGGTTCTGGGACACGCTGCACGGGCCGGGCGGCGACCTCACCCGACGGAAGGTCCTGCGGGGCTTGTGCTCCGACATCGCCGCAGGCCGCGTCCTGGCCGTGATGCTGGCGCCGCCTTGTGGGCCCTGGACCACCGCTGCCGACCGAGTGGGAGCCATCCGCTCGGCATCGCAGCCCTGGGGACTTCCGCGGCATCTTCTGAGTACAAAACAGCTGGCTCGCCTGGCATCGGGCAATAAGACCATGCGGGCCGCGCTGAGCGTCATCAGATGTTGCGAGAATTTCAAAGTCCCCTGCATACTTGAGCATCCTGTGAATTCACGCGTTTTTGCCACGAGAGAGGTTCTGGGGGTTATAGAACGGGGGGCTGTTGTAAGATGTCTCGATCAGTGTCAGGAGGGGGCTCGCTGGCGCAAACGAACAAGATTTTTGTGTCTGAACATAGATGTTCAGGATAGTTGCTGCCTCGATCGTCGGTGTGGTCAGATTAATGGTATTTGTAACAAGTCTGGCCGTCCACACATCGTGCTGGAGGGCAACGCCCCGAATGGTGCGAAATGGACCGCTATCGCTGCCGCCTATCCGCCAGCCCTCAATAGGAAACTCGCTAAAGTCCTTTTGAGTGAATGGCGCGCGTCGTTATATAATCACCCTTGCCCACCCACCCAGTAAACATTCTTGGGAACGGCTTGGGTTGACGGTGCCTCACAGCTGAGCGCAAGGACGCGCAGCCGTTCGTTCATCTGTGTCCCCGCCTTGAAAAGATCTCGGGACGTCCTGGTTTGTGCTTGCGCGTGAAGGAAGTCAAGAGGGGTTTTCATTATGTCGCCCCTTTGGCTCCGCTCCTTCTTGCATCGCATAGCTTCTCTGGTCCCCCGCCCCCCCGAGCCCTCTCGAGCATGCGTGCACACACATGCTCTGTCTCATTTTTCTCTCTGTGGTTGACGGTGCCTCACAGCTGAGCGCAAGGACGCGCAGCCGTTCGTTCATCTGCGTCCCCGCCTTGAAAAGATCTCGGGACGTCCTCATTTTGAGTGGATATCGGAATCATCCGTATGCCAGTCCATCATTGCGCTCCGCTTCTTTGCCGCTGCGTCTCGCCCCGGGTCAATTTGAGCCAGCGCACGAGAGGCGCCCAGCGAAACATCGCGCCCTTACAGGAGGGGGTGGAGGAGGAGGAGGAGGAAGGGCAGGAGGAGGTGCATTGCAATGTACTGCTTTACGTTAATTACCTTGCCCTGCATTGCATCGCCTAGGCAGTTCAGTACGTTGCATTGCGCAGCATTGCATTGCATGTCATATGGACGGCGTTGCCTTGCTCATCCGCCCAACTGGTTCCGTTGAGCAGACTCCGTCGCGCGGGTCTCCCGCGTGGGAGAATGCATCCATGATTGGCGTTGTTGGGGTCAACTCGTCTTCTCGAGGGAGTACCCCGTGCGGAGTAGCAGGAGGCCCCCGCGGCGCTTCACGAGGGCTCAGACAGAGAAGTGGGCTACTGGTCCGTCACCACTTGGCCCGAAGATGGAGCGGAGTGACGTTCCGAGCGACGCTCTGTGTGTCGTCGGCCTCGGCGGGGGCCGCCATGCCTCGCGCGGCGGCGCCTCCGGCGGTGCCCCTTGCGAAGGGGTGGCCATCTGTGCCATGCGGAATGGCAGTGGTCATTGGCACCAGGCGACCGCCTGCCAGCCTCGCGACCGTTGCGGGGGGACGGTTTAGGAGGTGCAGAACAAACAGGCGGGGATGGCGCTTGCAGCATTCACTCAGTGTTCGGTGCCTCATTCCCTGAAGTTTATCGACGCCCCGGTGCGCGCGCATTTCTGGCGCAGACGTTGGCGGACAGCGGGCGAGTGCAGGGTTCGCATGGGCGACGTGAACCTGCTCGAGGAGTTCGTCAGCGCGCTGTGGAGCGATGCGCTGAAACCACAGGCCAAGTTTGAAACGGGGCTGGATGCTGGAGCCCACGTTTTGTCTGTGGACGCGCGGCTCATATGGGAACGCTCGGCGCGGGATGCGGCCGGCGTTCAGGCGGCTTGCGTGGGGGCCGTCGCGCGGGAAGCGCAGGCGCGCGCAGTGTTCGCGGCGCAGAGGGCGGAGATTGTCGAGGCATTCAAGCCTCTTTGCGCGCCAGAGATGAGGGAGTGTTTCTTGCGCTCATTATTGGCCACGATGGGGCTTGAAGATGAATACTTGAATGAACGCTGGGGTGATTCAGGCCCTGGCCTTGGCATGTGCAAAGCTGATGTTATGTTTGGGGAATGCGCTGAAGGGCACTTGTTCAGAAGGAGTGTGGTGGAGCATTGTGGGAGTAACATCTTGGCGACGTTCCTCGAGAAAGCGATGGATTCCATCAGCTGGGTTCCGGACGACTTCATCGGGGTAGTCGCTGGGCCTGCGTCCATCCTGAGCGAGTTGTTGCGACATGTACCTCGATTCGAGGCCCTTTCCTCGGTGGAGCCATTCCCACATTTCCTGGGCGGAGTGTTCCCGCACTACGTGCAAGCCATGCAGCAGGAAGGCTTCTTCTTGAGTGATTTGGAATTGTTAGCCGTGTGTCAGTGTGCAGGGCAGAATGTGGCGATTGTGCGGTACGATGACGTGCAGCAGACACTCACCCTGCATCGGTGGGCGTCGCCGTCAGGCACGTGGGCGGCCATTCACGCGCGGGACAACGTCGATGCAGTGAGGAGTCATTTCGAACGGCTTCAGCAGGAGGAGCCAGCGAGCGAGTCTGGCACAGCGGCTGTTGCGCGGCAGCTTGGGGTCGGTTCTGGCAGAACTGGCCATTCGCCATGTTCGCCGCATGCGGAGCAGCCGCAGCACGCAGTCGGCGCCGACGGAGATGCAGCCGCGCGGGAACAAGGGACGGGCAGCGACGGGGCGCCGCCACCTCCGCCCCCGCCGCATCCAGAGCCGCGCCGCCCGCGGAGGGGGACTGGATCCGAGCGCCTGCAGGGATCTCGTCAGGAGCAGCCAGCGCCTGGCGCGGCCGGCCAGCAGGCGCCGTTCGTCGCCGAGCGGTCATTTGATTTCGGTGTGGGGCAGATGCGCGACGGCAGCAGCCTCCACCGAATGCAAGGCGTAGCGCCGTCGACAGAGCCGCGCGGCGCCGCTGAGGAGATGGCAGAGGAGTGGAGCGGCCAAGACTTGTGCCACGTCGTGTGCTGCGCAGGTTTTCAGAAGAAATACGAGTTCCAGAGATGGCTGGACGTCGCGGAGTCGCTGTCGTTTTGTTGCATCCGTGCACGACCGACTCTCTGCGGGGACGATGTCGATGCGTCGTCGGGGGTAGGTCTCCAGGAGTGGCGCATGCATTCCGAGACTGCACTTGGCAGTGTGCCGACGGGAACGCGACGGCGGAGCAGGTGCGTCGAGCTGCGGAGCACCCGTGGGACGCAGCGTTGCGGGGGCACGTCGAAGAGGCGCACGGGGCGGCCATAGAGGCGGTGGTTCAGTCAGTCTATCCAGGAGCTCGGATGGTCGTCGAGCGAACGTGGGCTTTGCATCGTGAAGCCATCGCCTGCCGCGAAAGGCAAGACTTCCCTGCAGTCGGGCTGACTGTGGATTGGCGCTGCATGGATTACACTCTGCAGGTGTACAACGACGAGTGCGTCCGCAGTTTGATATGTTTTGCCTGCGCCCGCATATGCTTAGACACGGGGGGCTTCTGGTCGGAGATCGGCTACGTGAGTGGCGAGTGGTTGTTCGGTCTTCCTGCGAAGGCTTTGGAGCAGAACTTTTCGATGAAACTGTTCCAGCAGCGGCGCTGCCAGTCGGGCACCCCGCTGGCGCCACTCGGGCCGGGGATGGCGCCCAGACTTGGGGATTGGACACTCGAGATTGACCCCGAGGTTTTCGATCGCGCCAGCGTGGGCCCGCTTGAGGAGGCTGGGAGATGGCGCGGGGTGCTAGACTTGAAAGAGACGGTGCTCATTTGCTGCCCAGAAGATCACGAATGTGCTCGGGGGGGCCCGCCGAGGACGTGCGGCCGCCAGCGGGGGTTGGAATAACTGCGGTCGGCGGGCTCAGCGCTGCGGCCGATGCTTCGACGATGCTGACTGGGGGTGGGAGGGGTGGGGTGGCGTAGCGTGCGGCTCAGCAGAGAACGCGCGCGGACGGCGCATCAAGGTGTGCATCGGCAGCGTCGCGCTAGCTCTCGACCGCAGTTGGCAGCCACCTCGCTGGCGACCGCCGAGGGAGCGGCTCTGCAGGAGTTGCCGTGTTCTTGTGTGCAAGTCATGCCGACTGGCGATGGAGCGGAACGAGGTGATCCCCATGGGCCTCGCGAGTGACAATTGGTACGGGTACGTGGATAAGTGGATATACGAGAAAAAAGTGACGTGGATGGAGAAGACGTGCGCGTCCCGATACTGGACCAGAATGATGTTGTTCTCGATGGATGTGCGCGAGGCGCAAAAGAGCAAGCGCCCACAGCATTTGTTACATGTTCCGCTGTTTCAGAATGAGGGGCGGGTTGCGTGCGCGGGCCAGCTCTTCAGCGCCCCGATGGACTGGGCGAGCACGGTAGAGCAGATGCAGAAGCTGGAGGCGGGCGCCGTTCACATTTCGCTTCCCGTGACTGGGGAGGCGCTTGCGAACAGGGTGCGTGTCGTGGTCACGTCAGGCGTCGTGGATCTGAACGCTCTGCTGAGAGAGGCCACCGTTCGCAGGAACATCGTGGTTGAGCTTGTCGCCATGCACAAGAGCGCGAGACAGCCGGGGTACAATGTCGACATGGACCAGGTGCGGCAGGAGGCCCTGAAGCTGGCGTCGACAGACGCCCCAGCCGTTCCGAACAGGCTTGCAGACGTTCTGAAACTCGACGTGCCAGAGGACGCGCCTTTTCTCGGAGTGGACCCGAGGCCGCTACGCCGGCGGAGCGCTGCGGCAACGTCGGTGACCTGGGGCGGGAACTCGACAGAGGGA